CTGCCGGCCCGCTCGAGCGGGGTGGGGGGGGCCGCCCGGCGCTGGCCGGAGGCCTGCCGGCCGCGAAGAGCAGCGCGGCGGCAGGGAGGGCGAAGCTGGCTCGCCTCTGCGCACAGAGGTTGGCAGCAGGGGCTGGTTGGGAGGACGAGCCGCAGCAGCAGCAGCAGGAGTGTATATATATATATATATATATATATGGATACCTATACGACCACCCTGCGGGTGATAAGGAGGTTGGGGGGGGAGGGGGCCCAGCAATGGGCAACAGTGGTGATTGTTGTTCTGACGATGCCAGTGGAGATTGTTGCGTTGCCGCTCGCTCTTGGGAGCCTTGATTTCACTATCGATCTCACTATTGATCTCACTATCGATCTCTCTATCGATCTCACTCGATCGATCTCACTATCGATCTTACTCAATCGATCTCACCATAGATCCCACTATCGCTCTCACTATCGATCCCAAAATCGATCTCACCATCGATCTCACTCGATCGACCTCACTCGGTCGACCTCACTATCGATCTCACTATCGATTTCACAATCGATCTCACAATCGATCTCAATATCGGTCTCACTATCGTTTTCGAACCAGCGGGACACCGGGACACCAGCGGGACACCGGCGGGACACCCGCGGGACCCCGCGCGGCCCCGTTTGCCGGTCGGGAAACATTTGATTCGGCCGCGCCTCAGCCACAGGAGACTTACCGGGACACCAGCGGGACACCGGCGGGACACCGCGCGGCCCTGTTTGCCAGGGGGGGAATCATTTGGTCCGGCCGCGCCTCAGCCACAGGAGACTTTCCTCTCGCCCGCCCACGCAGCTTCGCCTCGCCCGCACGCACGGCACGCACGAACACGAGACCGAAACGGGGCTCTCCGTTCCACTTAGATCTCACCCCCCCAACCTCCGATAGATAATTCTATATATAATTTGTATCTATCATACATACATACATACATACATACATACATACATACATACATACATACATACATACATACATACATACATACATACATACATACATACATACATACATACATACATACATACATACATACATACATATACATAGATATATAGATGTATCAATATATACATATAACACATATATATACAACAGCATAATATAAATATATATATATATATATGTATCATCCGATGCCGTCCTGCTTACAGCTCTGCGGCGCTCACGTCTTCTTTTTGCACGACGATCGGTTGCCATGATCAGCGCTTGACGTGGCGACTGGCTGCCATGACAACACGGGTGCGATGCTCCACAGCGGCACTCCCGCTGTTCCTCCTCCCGTACGACAGGCCCGCGTCGTGGCGACCGGCGGCGACCCCAACGCGGGCGATGAAGGTGGCGCGCCGCCCGTGGCCCAGAGTCGGCCCATGGTGGAGCGCTCCTGCGCTTCTGGAACGGGCGATGGTTCCAGTAGGGGGCCACATGCGAACCCTACAGTCAACCAGTATAGTAAGGATGCGCGATAAGGATGCAAGGGCCTTGGACGCCCATTTCGAAGCTTTTCGAGCGGGGCGTGGCCAACGAAAGTGGCCAAGGATGGACCGAGGAGGGAAGGATGCAAGGGTACCCTTGGGAAAGTTACCCATCCTTGTTATGCGGGTCGACTGTATACCCCTCGCCCCCCTCGAGCGAAGTGAACCCCAACCTCCCACTCAGCAGTCGGGGGGGTAGGGGCAGGGTTCGCATGCGGCCCTCGATCCGAATTCAACGAACCCCGCGGTGTCAGGAGCCAGCCAGCGCAGGGGTCGACACGGCACGAGCCTGTCGCACTCTCGCGGGGGCCTCGCCCTCCCTCCCCCGAGGCCTCGCCGCTCCCCGCCCACCTCGAGGCCTCGCCTCTCCCTCGGGGGCGGCGATGGGGGCGCAGAGCCCAGGGGAGAGCAACACACATCCTCCTCCTCCTCCTCCTCCCCTCCCCTCCTCCTCCTCCTCCTCCTCCTCCTCCTCCTCCTCCTCCTCCCCCCTCCTCCTCCCTCCTCCTCCTCCTCCTCCCCCCCTCCCCCTCCTCCTCCTCCTCCTCCTCCTCCTCCTCCTCCTCCTCCTCCTCCTCCTCCTCCTTGAAGTGATATGGCTTCGGGGCGCCTCAACCCCATGGGTGGAGCCAGTGACCTGGTATTACCACCCTTGTACCACTCAATGTCAGGACCACTTTGGGGCAAAGCGAAAATCTGTCTGGAGGGCGTCCCACAAGACAACGCCGGCTTTGTCCGACAAAGCTTGCCCTCCCTCGAGTGCGACAGCCCAGCATGAACGCAGCGCCCAATGGGATGGCGCAGTCAGGGCGGGTAGAACCTGAAGGCCCCTATTGGTTCAAGCTGGATTGTCGGAAAGACCGGGGAGACTCCCCAGCAAAGAAGGAAGACAACAAGTTTCCCCCCTCTGAGCAGGGGCTAACCTACTTATTCTTCGCATAGCCACTCACTGTGCCACAAAGCGGGCCTGAGGACAGGGACGAGACCAGCGGGCCCAAACAACCCTTGTGACACTAGACCTACCTCCCGACAGCCCGTACCCGTAGAGATAGGGTCCGGGTCCTCAGAATGAACCGAAACTCAAGTAATTCCCCCCCTCCTCTGAGCAGGGGCTAACCTACTGATGCTTCGCATAGCCTTTTGGGGCTCTTCTTGGGACCAGCTCGGGTCCTCGTTGGCCCCTCTTCAGGGCTCCATTGATGGTGACTGCCACGCCCGCAACGACAATCTGGCCTTCCCACGGCCGCCTAATCTGGCTCAAGCTTTCACATGCCAAGCACCCCCCGCATTGCTGGGTGGGGGATGCCCATACCTGTCCATCGACAGGGATGGACATCTTAGCTTTAGGCTATTTGGCACCGTAAGTGCCGTTGGTGAAGAAAGGAGATGGCCACGCCTGTCCCTCGACAGGGATGGGCAGCCTAGCTTTCGGCCCTGGGGTGGAGACCGACACCTGTCCATCGACAGGGGTTGGCATCGAGATCCTATTTGACGCCGCCGGTGCCAAAGGCTGCAGCGGTCGCTATGGTAGCATGGCCATTTTCGTGGCCATTGCGCGAGCCATGACCTTCCCACGGCGACCCTGCCTTCGAAGGGCCAAGCCCTCACCAGCGCACGCTACGAACGCGGCTGGAGTCAGAACCCTCGCCGCTGAACCACAATGACACAAAAGTCTCCAGTGGCCACACTTGCGGGTCCCTTAATGCCGAATGGGCGGGTCCCCTAATGCCGAATGGGCCCGCGCCCAAGCAAGAAATACCCCCGCCGGGGCCTTTGACCCCCGCCGATGTGCTAACGCCTGAACTCGCGGCTGAAGCCGGGCCCGTGCAACTCCGCGAAACCCGAGTTTGAGCTCTTGCCCGCGTTCGAAGCACGCGGCACCGGATTTTGGGCCCGTGCCCAACCTAGCGCCCGCGGACAAGGTCCGCGCCCACTCAATCGGGCTTCACACCATCCACGACCAGGGCCCATGACCCCGCCGGTACGCTTGTCCCTGCCCCAGCCTGCTGCGGTCGGCGGCCACGGGCTGCGCCCTCGCCTGTGACCAAGCCTAATCCTGAGTGGCTCTTAAGAGGGCGCCGGGGAGGAGGGAGGGGTTGGAGTGGGGGAGCGGGATTGGAGAGGAAGGAGAAGGTTTGTCGAGGCTGGGGATGCTGCCAAAGCGGTCTTAGGCCTGCGCCTGTTGGGCTGGCCCGCGCCCGTTGGTGGGCCCGACGGTATCTAAACAATACCGTCGCCTACCTGACACCGTCGACGTCGGACACTGCCGCCCCCGCAAGTGCCATGTGGCCGCCCCACGGCCGCATCGATAGGGATGGGCTTCCTAGCTCGAGGCACGATGCGTTGATTCCAACACCTGTCCATCGACCAGACCGGAACGGCGCCTATTTGACACCCCCGGTGCCGGAGGCTGCCGCCCTCGCTATGGCAGCATGGCCCTTTTGCTGCCATTACGCGAGCCGTGGCTTCCATGTGCCTAGCAGTACCCTCGTTGCGAGAGTGGGATGCCCATGCCTGTCCATCGACAGAGATGAGCATCTTAGTTCGAGGCTCGATGGGCGGATGCCCATGCCTGCCGCTGACAGGGATGGGAACCCAACCCAATACGACGCCAGTTGGCCACCTTCTATGTCTAAGGCTGCCTTGCCCGCAACCGCAAAAGGCCGTCCCACGGCCATGGGAGCGGGTCACACTTCTCGCATGCCAAGCAAACCCTCATTTCGAGGGTAGGATGCACATGCCTGTCCACCAACAGGGATAGGCATCCTATCTTCAGGCCAGAGTTTAGATGCGAACTCCTGTCCATCGACAGGGGGGCATCCAGAACAAAACGGCGCCTTCCTGACATCGTCAATGTCAAAAGCTGGCGCACCCACAACAGCTGTTTGGCCGCTGCACGGCCGTGGGAGAGGGCCAATGCGTGCGTATACCAAGTAACCCGCATGTACGAGGGAGGGGATGCCCATGCCTGTCCATCGACAAGGTTGGGTATCCCAGAATACGGCACGAACAACGGGTGCCCACTCCTGCCCAACGACGAAGGTGGGCACCCAAGTCGGCACGGCGTCCACGTGAGACCGACGAAGTCGAGGGCTGCCGGGGGCCGTCGACCGGCCACTGAAGCGGGCCAAAAACAACGAGTGGCGCGCTAGCCGGAGCTAACTTGACGCCACCCGCTTGCCCGACCAATTAAGCTCTGGTTGTGTCCAGTGGTCGGAACACTGCCTCCTAAGAAATCGCGCCTTGTTGGCACGGGGTGCCTCCTAAAAAATCGGCAGCGAGACGTGACCGACTCGGGGCCACATAAGCAGGCCAATGATGAGCTTGAAAATGGATGCCGCCGCATGTGCATCGACAGTCACGGACATCCCAACTCCTCCTCCTCCTCCTCCTCCTCCTCCTCCTCCTCCTCCTCCTCCTCCTCCTCCTCCTCCTCCTCCTCTCTCCTCCTCCTCCTCCTCCTCCTCCTCCTCCTCCTCCTCCTCCTCCTCCTCC